TACAATACAATATTTTCATATAGCTGCAAAACATGAAGCTTAATATCTATGCCACAATTTAAATGTAGAACGCCGTTTAACTCACCTCAAAATTACAGTATAACTGTCACCATCCTTCAAATCCTTAGCCCCTTCTTCTTTATGATTGATATTATTCATTTCTACGACAGCAGGATTGGTCTCAGCTTTCAGCAGCCAATCTTTCGCCGTCGGCTCGTTCTCCTTTCCCTCCTGATTGAGGGCATTCGAGGACACCACGCTGACGGAGTTATTATGATTCTTCTGCGCCTTCGGACTCGGAGGGACACCATCTCTCACGTGATGCTCATCATGAGTATCAGTATCGATCTCATCGTAACAGTAAGGATACTCCGAATACTTGTGCTTACAAGTTTTCATTGTTGGATCTCCTTTTTCATCTCTCTTAAAGATCTTCATAATATTATTCGATGTGGAATTCGTTGTCGGTTTACCATCTGTAGAACCTACCGCCTCATCTTTTAACACTCGGACTCTCGACGGCAGTTTATCTTCTTCCAACTTCTGCCTTCTCTTCCTCCACTCTACGACAACTGTTAAACCCTTTTCGGTGAAATAGAAGAACACTACGCCCAACATAGCTGCCAGACCCTTCCACATGCCATCATCATGCGAGGCTCTGGTTTCAACACCGGTTTCCTCGTGACTGCTGTGATTATGTTCCATTGGGCTCATAGCATGAGGCATTAAGTGTAAAAGAGCATCCCCACATAACGTACCAACAGCTAAAGCTACTAAAAATTGTAACAAATGATTATAATATGTTTTGTGCATTATAGGAATCACCGCGACACCTAGCAACCCACAAGCACTAATCGCGAATATACTTAGAGAAGAATACAACCAAACTGTGTACATATTCTTAGAGTACGCATTCTCTAAAGGTTTGAGATCCTTGTAGTCTATTCTATAAGGTATGTTAGCTTCTTTAACACAGCCAGATTTTTCTAGTGAGGTACCGGCCAGCTTTTGATAGAGTAAAATGGGACAGATGGCTTGTAACGTGTCCCCAGACACGGAGGTCTCGCCAGCGTGTTCAGAGGCGCTATGCTCGTGTTCACCGTGGCCGTGATCATGGGGTTTTAACCTAGTGTTCACCGTCGTTACTAATTCTTCACTGCTTACACACTGTAAATAAAATATGAATAATTTACGACTAATAGAAAAGAGCCTGATTGTCTTATACATTTTAGTTAAGAATTAGGGGATTTTTATAAAGCTTTCGTCACTTACATTAACAACATCCTCTTTGGTTTCCGTCTCGCCATAGAAGTACACTTTCCGCTCAACTTTCTGTACTCCACCTTCAACTAATTTATGCAGGTCCAAATCTTGCAGCATTCTATTAAAACCTGTCATATTCATAGTGGTTGTGCCCGCATCACCATATATACTGAAGATCTGTTCCACGTACGCATTCGGATTCACATTTCTGACTTCTCTCTTTCTTCGTATCTTGTCCAATTTAAATTGATACCTCTGTCTGGAGTCTATTCTTCGTTTACCAAGGTCAGCCATCATGTGTTCGGTGTTTTTGATTTCTGGTTCATAGGAGACGATGTCTTTGCGTGTATCCACGTGGGAGCCGCATGTATGCGCTGCACACAGCAGACAGAACATGCATACTGTTACCAGATGGTGGGACATCTTTACCTTCTTTACCTGTTAATCGTTGCAGTTGTAAATTATGATGGATCTTAATCCATCTGTTTATTGAATTGTTGAAGCGTCACGATATGGACATAGCTCGATCTGTGAACAAATAAATAAATTAAGTACTGAGAGATTTTAACTAAAGATCGAATCGAAGCACATTAAGGTTTCCATTGTATTATTCATTTGAAACTATTAACGTATATTACAGCTTATGATCTATGCTTATCGTAATTCTGATTAATTTAGCCTAGACAGGCTATAATTGTCCAGATAAAATGCATTATGAGTTGGCAGAAACCTAAAATTTTACGTTACTAAAAAAACAATTTCTATAAATTAAAACTATTTCAAATCATTTAATCTAATTATAATCACAGATAAATTCCGAGACTGAAATACGAGAAGGCGCGTAAAAATCACAGACGGTTTCTTTATATAAACTGTAGCGTTTAGTGTCCAAATATGGAAACTTCTCGAATGCGATCGCAGTATCAACTCGTGAGTTTTTACTGCTGAAACATTTGCACAAAAACATATAGCGATCTCTTTCATATCCTTGAATAGAGTGAGACAACATGTTTGTATAGATATATCTGCAGTGAAAACGTATTTAAAATCTTCATATTACGACCACACATTGTGGGGTACAATGTCAACTGCTGACCGTATGATATCTGATTATAGGGTAATTGTAACCCAACGCCTTACATTATTATGATAATGTCATTGTTTTTAGTATGTACTACCTTTCGTCCGCGAGTCCAACCGAAAAAAAAGTAGCCTATGTTTTTCCAGACTATCTCTACATCGGTCAGTTTTTAAAATCGGCCAAGTAGTTTTCACGTGAATTAAATACATACAAAAAGACAAATCTTTCCCCTTCACGTCACTTTCAGTTGTCGGATCGGTGATATCGAAGTGGCCACGTCTGCCGCTTGTCAGTTTTAACGAGCTCAAGTAACGGACATTATAATAATCACTGAGAGTACCACCAGACAGACAAACCAATTGCTTTGTTCCACTACGCTCTATCGTGTTACCATCAGAGTCAAGGCATTCGTATGGAAATATATTATCCTTCTTCTAATTCTCTCTAAAAATAGAAACAGATGGGATCAAGCGTTAGTTCGTATAACAAAAAAAAAAACAACAATATTTCCATACTAGTATTATAAAGAGGAAACATTTGTTTTTATGTATATTAAAATAAGTAAACAACTGCTAGGCCGATTTCAAAAATACTTTCTCCTTTAAAAGCTACGTTATCTGTGAATAACATAGGTCATGTCTGTAACTAATTTTAATTCCGCGTAGACGAAGTCGCGAGTAACAGTTAGGTTTAAATATAAAAATTACTACAATGGTATTTGACGATACGATTGTTAATTTTGTAAATTATTTTTCTTGTATTAAAAAAACTTAACCATATTTAAACTTTCCTCAACGCTAATCAATAGATTCTCTTTACAGATATATTTACGTATTCCTATAGGTTTATCGGTACATATTGTACGGTCACAAGTGGAACAGACCAGTGTCTGCGCGGGGGACCAATCGATTTGTTCCGTCGCTCATTGTGGACTAACGAGCCATTACAACTGGACACTCGATATGTACATCTTTATATTGACACCAAAACATTACCGGACTTGTAACATAATAGACTTTGCTGTCTATCATACTCTTTGAAAAAAGTAGAGATCGCAATACTTTTGTACTTTGTAATGAAGATCGGCGTAAAATTACTCTTATAACTAATAAGTTACAAACGTATTAAGTTTAGTGTTAAGGCTATATCGCCTTAACTTAGACGGGGTTATTAATTTTGTAATTAAAACTTGGACAATTAACAAACTTCTCAACTGTAACAACCGTAACAAGTTACACATGCTATTCAAATATACTATAGTAAAATACTAATATTATAAAGAGGAAAGATATATTTTTATTGTATTGAATTGAAATACAAAAATTCTTCCACCATTAAAAACCTACGTTACCTCTGTAACATCTAACTAATATTATAATTATAAATGCGAAAGTTTAGATGGATGGCTGTTTGTCAAAGTTTGTAGCCTAAACGGCTGGACGGATCTCTATAAAATTTGGCATAGACGTTGAGGATAGTCTGGAAGTACACTTAGGCTACTCACTGTTGTTGTTTACAATTTCAAGCGGACGGAGTCGCAAGCCAAAACTAGTAGGCTATATTTTATTAATACGTGATGACATCGCGATCATACTATACTATATTATGACGCTAATATAAGTATTCCGGACTGCCAAAAGCTATAAGGAAATTTACGTTAATTGTCAAAGACTACATTTAAAGTATTCATATGTATTTTAGTGCTCATAATGTTTAATCTTCATATGGCGATGTCGCACAGCGCCCCTAGGGGCTGTCGTGTCAAACGGACATATGCTTGCACGATAGTGCAACTATTCATTTTCTAAATATTAAATTAATAAGAATAACGCTTTAAAAAAAAACAGTATTCATGATACTCTATGATACTCCATATAGGAATGCGACTACTACGTTCTTGCGAGTATAAATGTCACTCAGAGTTCTTATGAGGTTAATTAGGGGGTGTCTAGGCGATCCACGACGCCCATTCCAAGACAACAGTAAATAATGCTGATACGTTGGTGGTCTTTGTGAAAGAGATATCTTATTGAAGGACCATAAGTCACATTGGTTTGTAAGTAACGGACAGATCGTTTAATAACCCTATGGGCGGAAAATTCTGCGAGATCCACACCGTTGAGGAACGCAGGGCATTCAAGTGGTGTGGATGTTACCTGGCGATTTATCGTGTCATCCGATGACAGAACTCGCCAGCAGAAATCTAGAGAGATCCTCGAAATACACCCAGTGGTAGAAATGATAAAAAATGCGGAGGGACCTGACGTTACTCGGCAAAGCCAGATAGTCCAGCCTGTAAAAGCTCAGTCGACAATTCGAGTCGTTTTATATTTTTATTTTAATCAATATCAATAACTTGATAAATATCCACCGGAAATACGACCGCGTAAAAGAGTAAGTGCAAATATTTTTCACGACAAAAATATTTATCCATCTTTCTGATAACCGAAAAGGTGCGATTGCCAAAAATAACTATATTTGCCAGTGACGCAGGGCCGGCGTTAGGATAGAGCGCTTGAGAAACCGCCCAGGGCCATGGACGGAAAGGGGCGTCACAGGTTTGCAAATCACACAGTTTTACATAACCTTGTTTACACCCCCTAAAAAGAGTCCCCCTAAGTCTAGCCATGAAACCTAGTAGCGCTAAAACCGTTACTAAAGTGACAGATAAGTATATATTAGTCATTATTAGTACTTTCATTATCTTATACTATGAAAATATTTTAGATTTTACTGAATCATTTGAACGTTTGGTTGAATTGACGTTAAAATTATGAAGTATGTATAAAACCACAGAAACTAACCAAAGGCCAATTAACCCTACTAACTAGCTTTTAAACACTCCGAGGCATAATAAGAATCGAATAACACCCTACAAGCAAAATCGGTACAGCCGTTTCTACCTTTGACTAAAGCGCACAACCGTTGTGCGATTGTCGATTGTTTCGAAATCTATTCAACTGTTTAATTGCACAACTAAAAATCGATTACCTCCATATAAGCTCATAGGAATCAAAGCAAGACTAAACAGTTGTGCGATAGTTTAATTTCAGGTGTGCGCACGCTCTAAGCGAGATCACGATTTTGTCGGTTAAAAACACAGAAGCAATTAGTAGAAGTTTAAAGATACGGTATATCTAGTAGGTTAGTAGAACGTCATTATCAACTTCCCGTGCTAAAACTAGGTGACAGACGAACGGACAAACATATTTTTGTAACACCTTCAAAATTGATAACGCCCAAACTATATCTAGATCCAAAGTATATCGCGACCACTTCACTTACATCGCTCGAGATATCGATAAAGCTTGTTTACTTGATACCAAGTAAAGTAACTTAAGTATAAGAATATAAATAAACTACGCGTACGTTAAATATGTGAAGGGTCTTGTAATAACATAAAAACTAATTAAAACCTAACCCTCGACGAATTCAAAAAGTATCAACTCTAACTAACACGTGTCAAATAAAATAACTAACAACAATCCTCCCGTTTTGGAATCGAACACGACTCACCTTGATACAACCCGGCCACTGACCCACAATTCACATGAAAAACCTCGTGCGATACAATTTAACCGAACATGTTATAACCGCGTGGTTGCAATTTTCACGTATACTATACTATAGTTATATACTATAGTTGTTTGCGTTTATGATTTTAAAGTGAAAAGTTGCGCAATTTGTGCTCCGAACAGTTTAACGACCTAAATTATTTAGTACTTTACTGTTTCCTATTTTTAGAGTGGCCTTTCACAAATTGAACCTAAATAGGAGCCACCAAATACGTACTAATCTGAGTTCTGTGTTTATGTTGTCGGTAAATTGTTAAATTTTTATAGTATATTCATAATTAAATACTACGCGCGATTTTAATAGACACTAAAGGCGACGCTTAATACAGATTTAACTTAAAAAAAAAACAAAACGGCCTGAAGACTATCTGAGGTAACAAAATGCTATATTACATTTAAATAATTCGAGCAAAACTGGATTGAAAACTAGTCAATACGTGATTATATGCTACGTAAGTGACAAGGCCAAGACGTAGTGAGGCCTGAAATGACGTGGTCAGAATTGAAAAATATTCTGACGTATTTGATATGTGGAACAGATGCACGGACAGAAGAGAGTTTTATGTAGGAATTTTCCGATTCGAAATTACACGAGCTAATGTTTCTGGAATCACGTAGGTAGTTTTACTAATTGTAATTGAAAAATAAAAAGAAAAACATTGGAAAAGATGAAGTATTAAAAATATTTTTTCATGAAAAGTTTCAGAGGCTTCAAATCATTTAAACATACATAATGTATACATAAAAGACTGTAAATAGTTTTAATCAAACAATATATAATATAACTTACATAATTCAGCTAACGGATGTAAATTTCAAGGATGAGGCAACGATAAAATACGTTACCTATACAACGAAGGCCCTTGACTGTT